CTCTCTCTCTTTCTCTCTCTCTCTCTCTGCGTTTTAATAAATCACATATCAGCGATTTTTCGTCAAATATTTATACACAATTTATAACAATTTACAACTATTTTTAATACATTATGTTTGTATTTTATTAAAATTTGTCGTAAACAGAATTTCCAAATAGCATTTGCACTTGCCGCCCACGCGGAAACGCGAGCGAGTTGCACTTGTCGTGCGCAGATTCGTGTACGCCACTGGCTGTTGCAAACCGAGGCAGTCGAACATGCTACGATCTGGTTATTCTAGTTAACATCACCGGTGCACGAAGCTCCTTTCGCCTACGTCGTACGCACTCGTGTTTCTCTTCTTATATATGTCAAGAATTTAAATATTCAACATACAAATGGCAAATATAATCTACCTGATACTACGAAATCGCTTTATTTTCATAAATAATTAGCAAATTTCTTGATATAAATTAAACGTAGTTGTGTAAGAGACAGTCAATTATCAAAAAATAAATTCATTTTTCTCCGAAGCATAAAAAATGCTTAAAAAGATAAGAGATATTAAGGAATGCAAGATATATAAATTAAATTTAATAAGAACGATTTTGAAATGCATGAAATACAGATTACGATCCTTAAAAACAAAATTAATTCTTCTAAAAATATTTAATAAAAATTTTCTAATTTATGTATTATTTAGCTTTTCATTTAAAAAAATATCAAATCCATCTATACTATTTTTAAAGCAAATTCTGCACAGAATTTCTTTTAGCATTTTGTAAATTTATGTATTGGAAAATTTGATTGGATATGTATTGGAAATTTTTGAACGTTTTAAATGTATTGGAAATTTATTAAAAGATTTGCATATATACTTCAAATTAAAAAAATTATATATTCATGTATAAAAGACGTATCCAATAATTTCAAGAAGGTAGACTTCACATGTGATGTACATCACATATTCCACTTCTCTATTTTTCATCTCTGATTTATTTATCTTTTAACTACTGTCCTTTAATTATTTTTTTTTTATTACTGATTTATAGTTATTTCGTGCAATAACTCGGATAGCCGCAGTTAGGAGAAAAGCACCCGATCTCGCAGATTTCTAAGGCGTAAAAACGTGCACGAGCTATTCTTGGAAGTCGGGAGTAGTCGGCGAGAGACGGAAGAGGAGTGCGAGGGTACGCGATCGAGGAAGAGAACTCTCGTGGATGTACACAGAGATGCAGGATGAAACGCGTCCACTCTTCTTTGAGGCTAACCGCCCTAGACATTCCATCGAGATGACTCCATGGGATCCCATTGCGTGCGCACGCGGGTGTGTCCCATACACATTCGCGTTACAAGGGAGACGTTGCGGAGGAGAGAAACAGAGAGTAGCGACGTCAGAAAGGGGACACTGTCCAGAATCGGCGGACATATAAGGACATCGGTGGACCTACGAGTCAGAAAAGGTAGCCCCTTGTAAGGTATCTTGCAGAATGGACTTCTTGTAAATTGCTTCGAGATGCAATACGATGGTATATCACCGTTGCAATGGATAGAAAGAGTAGATAGGAAGGTGGAGCGATGGGGTGGTCTTATAAAGGGTGGTAATACCTGCCATGACATCCGTGAGGTACTCCTTAAAGACTTATCGCGTATCGATTCTTTTCGGACCGAGAAATTTACATTCCTGAAGTTATTCGACCGCAAAAATACAGGAACATGTAATGTTTTTTCTTATTGTCATTGTGATATAATAGGGTAAATTATATGCTATTTGCGTGAAATTTTGTACATTTGTATAACTATTTTTTTTTTAATTGTTCTACTTTTAGCTTTTTGCTTTTAGTGAACTTCACAGTTTTGTGTGATATTTCATCGTCATTAAAAAAAGGGAACAAAAAAAAATTGCATGAAAGGAAAAAAGAATATATACTTTTTTATATATAAAAAAAAACGAAAGAATGCTGGAGTTCAAAATCTTACAATAATGAACAACTAAACTTGAATCTCTTGTGTCGTATGTAAATAAGTACTTGCGTTCCAACGTGGTCACTCGCGTGACGTAGCTGATACGAGAAAGCTCATTCGTTACGTTGACTTTGCGACGACGACGACGACGACAGCGTTGTATTTCTATCGTAGAAATGCACATGCGTGCATCGCGACGAGACGACAACGACACAGAGATATGTCCGGATGTTCGTCTGTGAAAAGATCACACAGAGCAAAAAGTCCTTGCAGACCAGCAAGGAAACAAGAAGAGCTCGGGAGAGTGCCAGCAAGAAGTCAACCGTCTTTAACGCACTCTAGTACCCCGAAATACATTGTCCGCAAAAGACCAGATCAAGTCTTGAGACATCTAAAAATGGTTCAAGACAAACATGGAAAATTCAATACAGAATAATAATAATTCCGTAACTATAAATATATTAATTTAAATAGTGGAAGATTTAAAAATAAATATAAACATATTTGAAAAAATAAATTTTAAGTATCTATTATATTTTATTATAAATAAAATTTAAGTAAATATTAATTTAAATAAAGAATTAAAATTTTGTATAAATATATATACGTAGAATAATTCAAATAATCTATCATATCAAAACATAAATTTAACAAAAGAGAGATAAAATAATTGTTCAAACTTTCGATTTCTAATGATTTTTTTAATCACTTATATTTTCTAACACATTAATTGTATTATTGTAGACTTAATAATGTTATTATAATATATTGAAATAAATCAGGATCTTTTAAATATATATTTATATGTATATTAATTTCGGAGAAATCAGTGATAATTTTATACAAAGGCAATTACTTTCGCTCTAACGCTATACATATAGTGGACAAACACAATGCTTTAATCGACCGTGCTCGTATTCATTTTATCGAATTGATGTCAGTGGCAGATGTTAAAACGCGACAGAGCCAGATACGCAGCGATAGCCGCGACGACGGCCATCCAGAAGAGCCGAACGAACCAAGTGGCAGTCAGCTGATTTTGACAGATTCTGTTTCAGCGAATATGGGGGCGTAAAAGGTCGGCCCCCACGACGAGCACAATGAATTGTCCGAGCGCCATTGTCAATTCCGCGGTGCAGGGTCTCCCAATTCGTGACCAACGAAGCGATATAATTGTTCGGACAGAAAAATCAGGAAAGTAACACGAATATTCGTGGTTTGGTTAGCTCTCCGATATTCCGATGAAGAATTGACTGTCTCATCCACGAAACCGGAGTGCAGTACACGTTGTATAAAAAATAAAGGGAGCTTACGTGTACAGCTGCACGAGAGAGATAATTTTGATTTCATTTTATCGAGATCCTGTTGTTGAACAGAATTGATACACTTTGTTCGAAACAAGATCACGTTTCTGATAATTAAGTTTTTAGTTATTTGAAAGCAATATTACCAATTTATAATAAGCGACAGTTTTATTATTTGTGTGGCTATATTTTCCAGTCGTAAAAAATAAAAAAATTGATCCTCATTCGTTTGTAAATTCGTGCGTGTCTAAGTCTATATATGTACGTTTATAATTTAAAAAATTGGAAAGATTATCAATAAAATAGCGCATTATTGTTAATAAATAATACAACTAATTAAATACGCAAATGATATTGTTTTACATCAAGATTCTCCTTAATCCACAAATATCCACCTATAGTTGTGATTTTTACTACTCTAACAGTAAAAAAACAAAGCTCATTGTCAGTCACAGCAGTTTTCTTTATTTAGAGTTCATACTTATTTTTTATTTCTTCTTATTTAAAAAAAATATCAAGTAAATCTAATATACATAATGATCTCAATTATTAATAAATTGTAAAAAAATTAATAATATATATTATGTAATTAATAATAATGACTATTAATTTGGATATAAAAAACATAGCAGGTTATCTTTTATTAAAAAAAAAAATTAAGTAACTTCCCGGGTTAAAGGAACATATATAAATCTACAGACCGATCAAGACATATCTCATTTGGAAAATCCTGTCCATAGTAGTTGCGTTTACAAATGATCGATCGATAGGGAGTCGCCGCTGCTCTTGTACTACTCTACAGCAAAAAAACAAAGCTCATTGTCAGTCACAGCAGTTTTCTTTATTTAGAGTTCATACTTATTTTTTATTTCTTCTTATTTAAAAAAAATATCAAGTAAATCTAATATACATAATGATCTCAATTATTAATAAATTGTAAAAAAATTAATAATATATATTATGTAATTAATAATAATGACTATTAATTTGGATATAAAAAACATAGCAGGTTATCTTTTATTAAAAAAAAAAATTAAGTAACTTCCCGGGTTAAAGGAACATATATAAATCTACAGACCGATCAAGACATATCTCGTTTGGAAAATCCTGTCCATAGTAGTTGCGTTTACAAATGATCGATCGATAGAGAGTCGCCGCTGCTCTTGTATGCCTTTTCAGCTAGCGGATATATTAATTCGAGAAGCCAGCTGTTGCAGGCGGGCCAATGAAGCGTCATTCAAATACGAAGCACGGAAAAATGATCGTTGTAATTACGAGTTTCTGCGAATTCTTCAGAATTCCGTTTGCAGGCGTAAAGAATTCGCGTTTAAAGTTAGAATTATTAAGTTCATAAACAAATAGTATTTATTACGATTTTTTGAATACTTATGGATGCATATTACATTTCGGTATTTAAGATATACACGAATTTTTAACTTTGACTCTTCTTTGTATGATAATTAAATCAATTTTGCAATTATTCGTACAGCTTTTATGCATGTTACAAAATAGTTTTTAACATACTTCGTTTACTTCAAGTTACACGAGAGCCGAATAATAACGAAATCGATTCACAGATTAAAACCGAGTCAGTAATATGAAACGTTACGCAGCAATATAGAATATACTTCCGCTTGTGATTTAAGAATAAAAATAGGCGCGCGAAATGCAATGTCTACATATACATATAAGCCTATATACATGGAGGTTCAAAATATGTGTGATTTGAGAATAGTTTCGAATAACTCACCCTGTTGGGCTGTACGTGCCAGCTACGTCTTTTCCCATGTCTCTGTATGCCATCTTCTGCAATGGTTAGGTCGGCCCTGCTGCCGACCAAACAACCCCCCGTATCGTATTGGCCAACCAGAAGCCTCAATCGATTTCCTGGACAGATGCCCTAGAGCAAAAAAAATACATACAATAACGTAACAACAGCTCGCTCCCGATGTTTCGCACGAATAAATTTTTAATCGCGCATGTTCTGTCGATATATTTTACCCAAAGTTCAATGCATTTTCTCCCTCTTGTAACTAAAAATCTCTTAATGCTAAATAAATAAACAAATAATTTATATTATTGTTATATTTCCATAACAATTTTATTTATATATATAAATATTTTGTTAGTTTATTTATATAAATATTTTTGTTCAGTTTTATATTTTAGCAAATTATACATTTTTTTATTTTTTAAGTAAATTTAGATTCTTTATTATTATATACACTCCGTTATATTTTTTATTTATCTGTTCTTAATTTTTATATCCGCCTACTCTTTCTCTCTAAAAAGGCGCGGTAGCTTTTCGGTTTACTCGCACATTTGAGAAGGACTCTCTCTCGAGAGAGAGAGGAGGTTCCAATTAGCTGTCCCTGTCTGTGAGGATATCGCGAGTTTGTGTAATTTCGTGAGATCGAGACGAAAATAAACGTTACACCCTTCGTTGCGTCGTATCTTGAGCCTTGAGAAACGAGCGTGCCACCAAGTGATGCATGCCGCGTAACTCATTCGTTTATCTCGAGTGCTACAAAGTTGTAACTCATAAATCTCAAGAAGTACGCATTTTCGGTGAAATGGCACTAAAACGTTGCCAACATGTTAAGATCTCGGTTGATACTTGTCGAAATTTCAGATTTCTCGATATAACTTTATTAACAGAAAAAAAGTGAGGAATATAAAAAAAGTCTTCGCCAATTTAATAAATTGTCTATTTTTTATCTCGCAGAACAACAATTCATAATTCTGCAAAGCAAAATTCCTTAACCTTTTCGTAATTGGTCATTATTGGTCTTCATATTATTTCGATCCATTAAATGCAATCAAAGTAGAAGCGTTGATAATATAAGTGATAGATACTGATAAAATCAAATTTAATTTTAATTAAGCTTTCACGATATCGAATTTCTCACTGAAAAAGAGTAAGAATTTGATAACTCCAATTCACCAGTAGGTCGCGGAAATATCCGTCATAAACCCACAAACCGCTGATTCAACCAATACCTTTAGCAATAGTCTATTTCGACGACGTCAAAAGTTTCCAGTTTCCAATAAAGATCAAGAGACCGTATCATTCAATCACCCTCCATCCACATCACATCGCCTTACTCTCAATTACTGCCTCACATATGTCTCCAAACGGATCGCACGTGTATTGGTTATAGCAATGGCGATGAGCCGAGTGTTTCAGCAAACGGAAGTCATTTCAGAAAAGTGGCTCGATAAGATCGTGCAGTGAGGAGGTTGCCCGAGGTCGTGGACCCGATTTGAAGAGCACTATATGTTCAAACACAGATGTGACTTCGCGTGATTTTCAAAACTACGACATAAATGAATCAATCAGCCAGCTTGACAAATGAATTAATTATTATACAAAAAGCGTTTAATGTTGGTCTACCTTTTTTTAATAGTATCGAAGATAGTTGTATAACTGTTTTCTTGATCGCGAATTGTCACAAAACTTTACGTGTGTCTAGATGAGCTTTGCCATTATTTTTTCAAGAATATCTAGTTAGTGATGCAAAAGTATTTACGGTAGTTGGTATCGTAGACATGAGTCTGCTTCTATATCGAAGGTAATTGTAATGCACGATCGTTAGTCCCATTTCCGTGATAATAATGTTGCCTCGTCATACCTCGAGAACCTCCAGAGCCGCTGTGGTGCATCGGCTCTTATGCATTATACAGATGTGCATAAGCAGTCTCGTGCACGCGAGGTACTTGTACGTAGAAGCTGACGACAGCTTTGTTACTGTTGGAGATAAATTTGCTTTTTGAATGGACCATCACGAGCAGCCATCGAGAATGAGGTACAAAATTAAGGGAACAAAATATTAAGAGCTCAATATATAATACGAAAGTTATTTTTTGCATAACAATGTACATATTATACAAAATAAATAAACGGATATTAAGTAGTAATATAACAAAAATAAAATTCATAAAAACTATAGATTTTTAATTTATTATAAAAATTGTTTGCTAAACCTTTATGACTTCCCATTCAACGAGCCAACAAATTTTACAAACGAGATAGGAAATTATAAATAAAGCAAAGCGAAATAAAACAGTTAAATTAATTGGCACAGACAAAAATAATACAGAGGACTTTTGTTACATAATATAATTGGATATTTTGGGTTAATAACAAATTCTCTGGCGTATTTTACGCTTGCATCGAATTGCAATGGCTTCATCGACGAAACATCAATCTTTTGGTTATTTATAATTTGAAAGAAATTTTTTTTGTTTTTTGCTCTCTCGTTTCTACCTTTCTAATTAAACGAGCATGTTCTTAATAATGGATAATCACGTCTATGCGCAGTCATGTCTGACATCAGCCAGAGGGCAGAGATCACGAAGCTAGATCATCGTAATCGAGCGTCCTATTTTCATGATAATAATGCCTCTCTCAGAAGAGAAAAAAAAAGAAAGAGAAAAAAAAAACAATTTCGTTCTGGATCTGATGTTATGCATTATAGAGACGCGCATAAATAATACGAAATATGTACGTAGAAATATCCAACGCGTGTTTTTTGTTAATGTGTAATGAATAAACTCCATTAGGATGTAATAGAACGAGGAGAGACGCAGTTAATGGGGATGCAAGCGAAATTCCCAAACGCAAGGAAGTTTCATAACATAATATTACACGTTCGCCTAAGGCATTTTCGATTAGCAGAAAATTGGATTGTAATCAGATTTAGAATTTCAGTATTCACAAACAACCGTGGGATACGAAGATAAAATAAATTCATTCAAATTTATTTAAAGTGAAATCTATCATTTTGAGACAGTAAAATCGATTATTTTATTATAAACTTACAGATGAAGTATAAACCTTTCTTCGAGATATAGATCTCGCGAAACTTATAGAGATTTCTACATTATACGATATCATTTCGTAAGGATCTCGAGTTTTCAAGAGTTCTATTTGAGAAAGATTCGTAGATATAAACTTTATGTCTTTTGAAATAACTATACCTGTCGACCTCGCAGAGCGCACAACCACCATCCTTCAAGACCAGCAGTGTTCTGTTCCAGTACGGTGAGAACGTCGCCTTTTCGAAAAGCCAGCTCATCAGGCGCCTCGGCGATGTTGTCGTACAGAGCTCGTGCTTTCACGCATTTTTGCTGCAACATAAAAAGAAAAAACGGTGAGCACAAATAATGTAAAAAAACAATGGAAACTGACAGAAAGGAAGTCGCCAAGTGAGATAAAAGAAGAGATTTTAAAGTCTCCACAATACTAGACTCTTATCATTCGCGACTGTCAATAAATTGATACTTCTAATATTATTGGTGAGTCGTCTTTGCAAAACAACGCTTTACCGAGGAATCGATTCTCGCAATATCTCCAAGAAATTCACAAAAATCAATAAAAAATCAGAATGACTTAATTTTTATTCTTAACGTCAATAATAATCAAATTTGTGATCAAGAATCATTATTTTGACTTTCACGATGTTAAAATAAAGTCATATGGATTTTCTCTTGACTCGGTGTGTTTCCTTAGATTAGTGTTCGCGTAAACGAATTCCGCTCGTGGACACCCCGTGTCTCTGACTTGACACTTTTGACGGCGCCGGATGTGCGATACCGTATTGCGGGCAGATGGCACGTCGTCGTATCGGTGCCGCAGAAGCAATTGGTTTCATTCGAAAAGTCAACGAGCCAGTGGTTTCCACGCGCGCGCCAATTGGGCCATTGGGCACGCAGTAAAACGGCAGCAGAAGTTCGCAGCCTCGGCACACAGTGCGCCCTTCAGTCAATTTAAATCCATAAAATCCTAGTACCACATCCCTCTCCGCTCTCGTCCATCTGCCGCGTCTATTTCGAGAGACGGCGGCAATCCCGTCTGTCCTGTTGTTCCGCCGCCGAGAAGAGACGTAACGATCACTTAAACGGCGATCCCGTCCTCGAAGTGCAGCGCGCGATAGACGCGTTTTACGAGGAAGCTGCGGCGAGATCTGTCCGTCATCCGCCTCCCTCTCAAGCGAGCTCAATTGAAGCGCCTTGAACGACCGTTTCATCTTTCCTTCTCATATCTCTTCGAGCTCTTTTTCTCTTCCACTAGCCCATAGCTGGCAAACGATGATGTCATTTACGCGATCTTCGGCGAAGTTCCGGCGCAGGCGACGTCGCCGCGGAATTAACGCGTCGCTACGATCATTAACACGGGTGCTTCTATTAAATGTAATTGCCTGCACTTCCATGAACACCGCGTGGAAAATCGAGCCCTGCGGTAGCGATAATTCGTTCTAACGCGGTACATTTAAGCGAAAGGGAGATATGTTCGTGTTCGGAGAGAAATTCTATGGGAAAGGAAGTGGTTTGCGTAATTGACTAAATATAGCAATAAAAGGGAAAAACAGTTAAAGAATAAAAAGGAAAAGTTTGATATAATAATGATGATTGTATAATAGAAGTAAAAAGGTAGAACTTAACTTTCCTGAATGAAATAAAGTAAATTTTAGTCCGCTAATAATTAATAGATAATTCATTCACAACGAAATTCATTCTCAACGAAGTTTTTCCCGTTCTAATTATATTAATGGTCTTGCTTCGATAATTAATTTGTAGCAGGGCAAGAAGAGAATAGTTAATCGGGAATTAAAACGGGAAAATGTGTGGACGCGGCGCGCGGATAAGTACTCTTCAAATAACATAAATGTTAATGGAGTTGAATTATAATTGCTTTTCCGAACGAGCACAAAAGTAACTTTTCGCCGCGATCCGTTATAACTCTGTTAGATTAATAATACTTCACTTATATACGTTATGGAATTCTATTTCATGACATACACGTAATATATTCTGTTCTCTCTTTGTCCTCTTTTCCTCTCGTAGTTAGCTCTTTAATATGGAATCGCCACCACTTCGACGAACGTGATAAAAGCGTTTTATTCCTACATTACTACCGTACAATGATATAGCATCTTACTGCACCACAAAACGTTTCAATTTTGCATGTAACATGGTTCGGATATGTGCAATCTAGCAAATATACATAACATACCAGTGCTACAAATAGCAATTTAATTTTCTATTCAAAGAGTCTCTTAATAAATTTTAAATTAAATATTTATTAATAATCTTTGCATATATGTATATTAAATATCTATTAATATAAACAGAGATATCTATTAGTACAAATTAGCAATTTTATATTTAAGGTGCGCATTTATTTGCCAACAAATAAAAGTTTAAAGAAGAATTTATATTAAAATTTATATTAAAATATTCATTTTACAAATTTTTCTAAAATAGACGAGTTCGCTTTCTATCTTTAAAAAATAATTCACAAGATTTTTCTTAGATATGCTAGTTATGTTAATCCATGCCTGGCGTTTCCAACGGAGGTATAAGCTTACTTTATCCGCGTATCTATCTATGTAACTACAAAATCTATCTCGTCTATCTCTCTTTTTATTTTGATATTTCAAGTTCATTGTATATGGACCGAATATATATACCTATATATATACATATATATCGATCCTATTTTTGGAACCACCAGGTTGTATGCTGTGAACGCGATGGAAAGCCCGTCAAGAATGCCGTTCGTGAAAGGACTCGTTGCCATAAAAGGACACTTTCGTCTGCCCCGATTGCCCCGAACATTAAGCCAGACGTGCAGGTACATGCACTTACGACCTTTGCACTGACAAGTTTCTCCAGGCACAGTTGCGCTGAAGCACTCGAAGACTGAAGCAATCTACATAAAATTATATGGAACACTATCTTTTTATAAATTACTAAAGAGCACTTATAATAATTTGCTTTAAATTAACAATATACTAATATGGATGTACCGTTTTCAATTACTTATAGTAGAGAGATTTTATGTACAAAATATAAAACATAAAAATGTAACATAAAATATTTTAAATATAAGATAACCGTACCCAATATGGCTTAGTATACTTAATGTAACCGTTCAAAAATGTTTTCTCTTTTAAATGTGACCAATTTTAGACGCAGCAAAAATTGAATTGATTAGAGAAAATGCAAAACCTTAGGTGATCATATTGAGTACGATTAATTTATTTTAAATGAAAAAGTACTACATAAATTTTAATAGAAAATTTTAAATTAAAATACTATTTAAAAAACATATAATATACGTATATTTTTTTAATTAATATATTTCATTATAAAGACATTTTATTGTAATGAGAAAATATAAAACTATTCATCTTGTAGAATTTTATTTCAATTTTTTATATAGAATAAAAAAAACACAACATTTATATAGAATTAGAATTTTCACGGAATTTGATAAAAGAAAAACCCGACTTTAATGTTAACTTTATAATATAATTACCTTATAGGTATCCTTATTAGTATAAAGTATTGTAATAAAGCATGTTGATATTAATCACATTTTAAATTCAATAACGCTGCACATTAAAAATTTTATTTTGTTAGTGCAGAGTGAAATCAAAAGCGATGGGCGTTGGTAGCTGCGTACAAAATACTGGTCCGTGCCCAAAAGGGTAGTTCATGCTCCCGGAGGTTGTATTTATGTAGCCCTTCTATTGTTCGGGATAAAAAGAGCATCTGTTATTATTGAATCCAGCGAAAGTACATTCGAATCGAAGTCAAATAATTCTTACGTTTTTATACATAACAAAGTTAATTTCGAATGCGTCATGGGAAATGCAATTATTTTCGTCACGTACTCATTCTTTGGGATTTTCATCTAACTGATTGAAACCGAAGGCTTAAAAACGATTGCTCAATGATTCACGCGCGACTAACTCAATTCATCAAGCAAGTCGCTTTTATCGAGGGAGAGGCACGCTTCGCCGTTCGTGTTAACTCCTTTGCATAATCCCATCGATAAGAATTATGGTATCACATCTATTCGATTAGAAGGAATGAGCTGACAGGATCGAAATTGGATCGAATTACAATCGGTGCTACACGCAAATGTACAACTAAAAAGAATTTTAAACTTTCTACGCTGTTGTTGCTCTCAATCGCCCGTCTTTATTAATTATTGTTTTTTAAACTTTCTATTTGAAGACACTAAATTAGCATGTACATATAAATACACTATACATTTAAATTCTGATACAAGTTATAAAAATAATGTACAAATAAATTTATGACTTTATAAGTCTATTTTAAGCAGTATTAAGTCAATCTTTCCCCTCTCTCTTTTGACTTAATATACACATATATACTGCCCTATTTATGATTATACAGAAAGCATGATATCAAGAGAGGAAGGAGATTAATCAGATAGCATATCGAATTTTTCGATATTATCCTTAATGACGATTCATTTTGAAATTTAAATTACAAAGGATATTTGCCAGCCCTCATCTCCCTGCACACCAGTGTACACGTACGTGATGCGAGCACGTGCGTCGTAGGTAAGTAGCCCTATACAAATACCACGTCCAACGGAGCATGTTTTGCGGAGGGTTAAAACCGCTTTGTAGACACGTGCCGTTTCAGGAGGAGATGAAGTATCGTTACGGTTACATGATTCCGGTTTTTTTACTGCCGACATTACTGTTGTATGTTCGCCGACAATGAGTTAATGTGTTCCCTGACCGCACAAAAATGCTCCGAACGTTATTACAATGTAAATTGCCGTCTTGTAAACACCTGTAATAAAATGTTAAACGCTACTTTAACGAGAAATGTTTTTGATATATTTTTGGAATTACTTATCGGAATTATTCGTGATATTATCATTCCTAGGAAATTAATCCCTCTCAATTTTCATTTTAATATTAAAGCATTGTCCAATTTTATTTCATTCTTCTATTATTATATAAGCACGTTTTTGTATTAGTATACAAGTAAACAAATTTTTACAATTTATGGTAATATTTGCCATAGGGCTGTGTATAAAATTTGGGTGACAAAAATATTTATACGTAGAGCTAAACCATTGCCACGAATAATATAAAACGCAGAGCAGGACTTTTGCACTGGAGTGTACGAGTGTTCTGTAAGTCTGTAATCCAATTACAAGTAGCTTATAAGCGGTGGCACGTACTATGAAGGGTCTATGAGTGTTACTCGCGTGTAATGTCGGCGTTAACGTTTCGTCGGAAACACGCGTAGCGCGAATAATACGATTTAGTTAATCATGTGTAAATGAAACATGGGGA